AAAAAATATATGCATATCGGTAAGTTTTTTTTAAATTGTGCGAAAAATAAAAAAAATTACGATTCCGGTTACCGCAACCATTACGCTACGGCCTTTACACTCCGCAACCGCAACCGCGTCACCGCAACCGTTACGGCGACCGCAACCACTTTTCAGAACCTTATGTACTATATAAGTACACTTTGTATCTTTGTATTTTTTTGCGTCACATTACCTATTTACTTTTTTGCACATCTTTTTATAAAAAGTTAAAAAGTGCACTTATTTAAATCATCACAAAGAACCCAATTGAAATATCAATAAAATTATGTTTTGTGTTTTTTAAAACGCAGGTCATTTTTAGCAAGAAAAAAAAAATCGACAAGTGCTTTGAGAATGTCTTTTTTTTTTATAATATGCTAGTATAGTTAGATTACAACTGAAGGGCGGTCGTTGCTTTATCAACTCAAACTCTTAACCTCCCACTCACTACATCATAAAGTGTAAATACTAAACCATTGGGCCACGCCCCAATGTCTCTTTGAAAAATAGTTTGTCAAATAAATTTTGATGTATATTCTTGGAAAAAAAATGAAATAAATAAATGTCAAGACTAGTGTCACGACCCAAACCCGCCCCTATAGGTTTAATATCGTAACCGGCCAGTATTCCTTGGACTACCAAAGGCCTCTGAACAGATTAACAAGATTAAGGGGCTAGCGGAAGCAAATACATAAATATAGTTGTCCAATGAGGTGTGCTGACTTATATGAAACGAAATATTTAAAAATTTTATATACATAATCAAAAGCCATTCATACATCATACCCACACGCATTAAAGTATCTTAAGTACAGCCAACAGAACAACTGAGTCTTATATATACAGAAACAACAGAACTTAAACACTGGACACTTCGGGAACCTCCACGTGAGGCACAATGGTTGGCTGACAACAGAACACAGATCTAGACAAAAGCCTTCAGGCTCGGGCTCCAGAATGCTCACCTATACATATATATAAATACAATGAGCTAAAGCCCAATGAATAACATTAAAATAAAGGGATTAGTGAACGAAATCCGAATATATCATAAGCGGAAAACAGATCATAACATAATCATCCTCATATTAGAACATAATAATGGTACATCCCATAGAACACATCACAGAACGTCTTTCGACTAGAGTAATCGATTCCGGACACCGATTAAACACATATCACCACAATAAAAGTGACTAACGAGATCTCGTAATTACTTGTATGTTATGGACCCGCATTTTCATGCCGTCCCCCATGATTTGGGACTATCTATGGACGCCATAATAAATTTCAAACTTGGGATGTTCGTTCACGTAAACAGATATCATTTCAAAAATCATAGCTTATCACATTTCATTTGGAATATAATTCATATCAACATATCTTTATAGAAATGTTACTCACAGTGGTTCCCGTAAATGGTCAATCAATCCTCGAGTCCTAACCTACAACCACAAAATACATCACACAAGCATGTCTTATCATTACACATTCAAGTGACCATTAAGAATTACCAAAATGTGAAATTTCTCGTTAGTTGCAAAGATTCAATCAATAAAAACTACCTATTTTTATATTTTTACAATCTGAATGTGAAATTTCTCGTTAATACGTGATGCATGTAGTGTTAATATTTATTAGAGTTGAAGTTGAAAAAATTGAGGAGAGAGAAAAAAGAAGCCAATAATGAGAGGGAAAAAGTAAGGATGAGATAGGAAGAAAAACAGACGAATGAATATTTTTTATGCAGGCTTGAAAGAAATGAGACGTCTATGGGTTGTTTTGGGAAGTTCGTAAAAGGTTAGTTTTTGATTTTTTATCAAATTTTTTGGTTTTTTTAAAAGTGATTTGAGAAGTTGATAAAAAGTTGACTTTTTGTTTTTTATTTTAATATTTATTTATAGTGTCAAATCAAATTAAAATGACCAAAATACCCTTACCTAACATAAGAGATTTATTTTTTTATATTTTTTTCATAGGTCCTAATTTATAATTTTACGGCTGCGATTTTGACACTTGCCAAATGACTTTTCTAGCGCTTTTGACAGCCACGTTTTTAGACATTGTCCAAAAACGTGGCTTTTTACTATATTCTCAAAATGGCACTATATATAGACCAAGGGTATAATGTAAATGGGAATCAATATGAGTTTTTTTTTTTTTTTTTTTTTAAAAAAAATAATAAGGGAAAAAAAAGATGAAAAAATAAAGTGAAAGAAAAAGAAAAAAAGAAAGAAATAATAAGAAGATATGTGAAATCAAAACGAGAGAGTGAGGGAAAAAAAAAAAATTGGTTCACGTGAGTTTCTTGGCCCACGGTTTTGGTGAAAACCTGCAATGGGTTTGGTATTTTTTTATTTTTTATTTTTATTTTTTTTATTTTTTGATAAAATAAAATAAATAAAGGTAAAGTGGGGTAAAGTAGGGGTAGCGTGAATCAGCATGCGTTTTAAAAAGTGAGGAGGTATGAATTAGAGTGGGTATGGATTTGTAAAAAATAATAATAAAATAAATGAGTGGAGAAGGTTGGCCCACGCACAATTAAACTATGATCAAAATTAAGGCAATGTTTAAGTAATTTTTTTACTTTTTAGACACACTTAACATAAATACACTTAAAAAGTAAAAAAATTGTAAAAAAAACTTTTAAAAATTCACTAAATATCAAAAATACAAAAAAATACAAGAATTCAGTACATTTTTTGTATTTTTATGTATTTCTTAATTTTTTAAAATATTTTTTCATAAATTTTTTACTTTTTAGATGCATCTAAAAAAGTAAAAAAAAAAATTTGTTTAAAATTTAAAAAATATTCACTAAAAATAAAAAAATACGAAAACCAAAAAATTCAATTTTCAAAAAACTTCATCTAAAAAACTCAAACCAAACACACTGATTATTACTCAATTTCAAAAGCAAAGTCGTGAATTTAATAAAATATAAACTAATTTAACAAAAATAAATGTCAAAATTTTTTTTTTTAATTTCTAAAAATTATTTCTATCTACTAAAGATAAAATGCAAAATTGATAAATTTTTTAGATATTTATTTATTTATTTTACCAAATTAATTTTTATTATGTATTTGGATGATAATCACGTAATAGGTGATTGTTTTTATTTTCATTAAATTAGTTTCTATTTTTTCAAAAGTCAAATATGGCAATAACTTTGATATCATTATTAAACCAATCCACTAAATTAAAAAATTCAAAATTAAAAATATTTCATACATTAAATATATCGATTACACATTAAAAACCTAACAACTACCAATTCCATAATCATTATCCAAATAAATAATAAAAATTAATTTGGTATAAATAAACAAATGTCTAAAAGATTTATTAATTTTACATAATTTTATCTTTGGTAGGTAGAAATTATTTTTAAAAATTCAAAAATATTTTTTTGACATTTATTTTTATCAAATTAATTTATATTTTATCAAAAATTTTATGCATGAATAAAATTTTTCGCTTGCAAATAATAATTACACGTCATAAAAAAATAATAAATAAATAAATAAAAATAAAAAAGAAGAAGAAAAAGAAACACCAAGTCAAGTGAAATATTATTGTCGTAACAAAAAAAAATATATATATGATTTTTGCGATACAAAAAATTTTAACCCAAAAGTTGTTGGTTGTCAAAATTATAACATCTACATTTTCTTCGAAATATTTTTTTCTCAAAAAAATTTATTTTAATTAATCACAAAAAATAAACAACGACAACAACAACTAACAACAAAACATTTCCTTTGACTTGCTGATTTTCCCGTTATACAGAACGTGTTAAAATACACGCTGTTCCAACTTTCATGGAGGCTTAAAATTTGAAGGCTTAAAGATTATACTTTGACAACTTTGACATTGTCACTTATGCCTTTAGGCCATTTACAAATTTACCCTTTTCTCGGGGGAAACAAAAAACAAAAAAAAAAAAACAAAACAAAAAATTTAATTTGGTTTTTATCCCATTTTCAGATCCCTTTTAAATTAAAGTAGCTCTAATCCAATCCATGAGCAAAATTATGTATAAGCCCCTCCAATAAAAAATGCCATATATTCAAACTTGGCCCCTGTAATTTATACAGTTAATAAATAAAACCTTTAAGATGAACCAACAATTAACTCAAAAGATTCACTATAACCTCCCATAACCAACCACTCCATGAAAATATATAATTATCTGAACCTATTAACAGTATGACTAGCGCGTCAAGTAACTTGATAAAATCTAGAGGTGACAAACGGATGGATTTAGAAGGGTTAATACGAGTTATACATTAAAACAATTTAATTCAACTTTGCTCATTTAATAAATGAGTTTAAGAGGGTTGGGTTGAATTGAGTACGACTCAACCAAACCGTGTACTTTTATGAGGAGGTGGGGGTGGCACTGGCAGTAGAGCAGTGGTGGCAGGAGGATGATGGTTGGAGTGAGGTGGCAATAGTGGGTTCCCTGCTTTATATGGCTTTCTAATTTTTTTTTATTTTTTAATATATCCAAACCCAAGCAATGTTTAAGGATGTCTTGCTCAGCAATGTTTATAGAGTTCCAGGGAAGTTGGAAAAAACAGCCTTTAATCATTAAACCTCTTCAAATGAAACTTACTTGCTGATCTCAAGATCCTCAAGGGAAATTAAGAAAACTAAGACAGATAAGATACATTTGCATTATGTTTAGCAGACAGCAGCCTTAACCCAAAAAAGAAAAAAGCAGACAGCAGCCACTTCTACAATACAACCACCGGAAAAGAAATTATCAAAATTGGTAAGAAAAAGAAATGGTTTGATTTTGAAATACTGGTCTGTGCTATATGCTAATTGTATTTTTAGCAGAGAAACATCCAGATTATATAAAACACACAAACCCGATAATCCAAAATGCAGCTAAACTGGCCACCTGCGTTTCACATACAATATTCCTCAAAGGCGTGAGATATCTGTGAAGGATGAAATGATGTGGGGTTAAGGAAAAAATTAAGAAGATAATTTCTATACACAAGATTGAAATCAATCAACCTATAATCTGTTTCCCTTAGGGTGCAATACTCAATTATGGACAAATTTCTAATGTAATGAATTCACATTACATCAATGATACATGAAACATCACTGTACAACAAGTGATTTGGTAATGTCACAAGATTCTCAAGAAGCGGTGTAGGACAAATCCCCCCGCCAATGAATGAGAACTGAACTGAACCTTTTTTCCCTTTCTGTCTTCCTCTCCCTAGGAAGGAGGGCTTCGCATATGGAGACAGCTTCTCATACTGATTCACTGTTATATGTTTTTAATCCAACATTCAATCTATATTCCACAATTTAGTCAATAGATCTTGATCAGACCAGCCATCTACAATTCCATTCAGAATTCCAAATCAAAAACTGGAATTCTGTTATCATGAAAGATCAAGTCAACTGCAAGCAATGCTTAGGTGCAGGCTCCACATTCCAATCAACATCTCCACAAGCAGTAAGAACCGTTGTAAGTATGTAATCATCCACCTCAACTCCCTCTGCTTGCATTCGATACATGAGCTTCAAAGCCTCTCGGCATAACCCATTCTTTGCATAACCCATAATCATAGCTTTCCAAGAAACCAAATTCCGTTCTGGCATGCTATCAAAAACTTGAATTGCCTCCGAAACATACCCACATTTTGCATACATAAAAATTAAAGCGCTGCCCACATACACATTAGAGAAGGCTGGGGTCTTGTTCACAGAGGAGTGGATCAATCTCCCTTGATGAATATTTTCTAGTTTGGCACAAGCTTTCAAAGCAGATGAATAGGTAAAAGGGTTTGGCTCAACACCTTCCCCTAACATTTCTTTCAAGAATTCAAGAGCCTCGGATTCGTGGGCAAGACCTGCACAACCAGAAATCATGGCAGTCCACGAGACTACATCTTTTAAAGGCATTTCTTGGAGGATCGTGGATGCAACAGAGTACTCCCTACATTTGCAATAGAGCCACACAAGAGTGCTTCCTATGTAAATATTGCTTTGAGTTGAATTCTTGACTAATTGAGCATGAACTTCCTTTCCCAACGCCAAACCTCCAACCGAGCCACATGCCCTGAGGATGCTCACCATGGTCAAGTTGTTAGCAAGTATTTTACGTCTTCTCATTATCCGAAATAGACTTATGGCCTCCTCACTAAGTCCATTCCGAGCATACCCTGCTATAATGGAAGTCCAAGTGACTGTGTTTCTCTTCCTCATTCCATCAAACACTTTCCTAGAGTCCACAATCTCCTTGCATTTCGAATACATATCGACTAAAGAAGTCCCTATAAACACATCATTTTTGAATATCTTCTTAACTACGGCCCCATGTAATTGTCTCCCAAACTTCAATGCCGCCTCATCTCCACAAGCCTTCAGAACACTACAAACTGTAAACTCATTTGGGGAAAATCCTTCAAATTGCATTCGTGAGAATAACAGAAAGGCCTCCTCTGTCCACCCATGCCGTGAGCAAGCAGTGATCATTGTTGTCCAACTAACTACATCGTGATTTGGCATCCGATCAAACGCACGAAATGCACCTGATAGATCACCACATTGTGCATAAAAGTAGACAATTGCACTGTCTACAATTAAATTACTCCAATTTCCTTTTATTATACAAGCATGAATTTGTTTCCCAAGCTCATAATCTAATCTCCTACTGCATAAATTTAATACACACACAAAAGTCTTAAAGTTCATCGCCTGAACTCCTCTTCCAATATTTTCCCTGAAAAACACGAAGGCTTCATCATCAAGCCCAAACCTTAAATACCCATTAAGAATAGCAGTCCAAGAAACAACATTTCGTTCCGACATTTTATCAAACACCTTACGCGCAGCAACTAAATCCCCAATTCTCGCATAAGCACTAATCAAATTGTTATCCACAAATACGACCGAGCTCATCAAACACTTTATAACAATTGTATGTAACTTCCTAACTTCTTTTACTCTATCACACAACTGAAGCTGGGAAGCAAGCACATCAGAATCACCCAATTGATTGATCAACGAATCATTAGGGAAATTGGGTTGTGGGTCTTCTTGGGAGCTTGAAACATTGGGCAAATGGTTTGTTAATGGTGGATTTTTGGAAGAAAAAGAAGGAAGATTTTGGGGGTAATCATGGTGAGAACTCTTTGGAACTGTAGTTTTGAAGTTTTCTGAGTGGTTTGGTGATTTGGGTGGTTGAATATAGGGAAGGGAAGGTGGGTGAAAGAGAGTAATTTGGGGTAATATGAATGTTGGTGAGAGCATTTCACTCAGTCGCTGAGTTTGTGAGTTGGAAATTCAGTTTGGTATGTTCTTCGCCGCGCCAAATCGTATCAACGGCAATGTTCTAGGCTCTGTTTGGTTACTACAACAAATATATGTTTGGTCAATTTTTTAGAAATTGAATTTTTTGTTTTTCAAGTTTTTTTTATTTTTAGTAAATATTTCAAAATTTTAAGCAATGTTTTTATTTTTTTCGACACACTTTACTTAGATTTATCTAAATAGTAAAATATTTATGAAAAAATATTTTAAAAAATTAATAAATACACAAAATAAGAAAAATGTACTAAATTTTCATATTTTTAGTATTTAGTGAATTTTTTTTTAAAAAAATCACAAATATTATATTTTTTAAATATATTTACGTTATGTATGTCTAAAAATTTTTATAAAAAATTGTTTAAAATATTAAAAACATTCATTGAAAACAAAAAATACGGAAGGAGAATTTTTTGCATTGTATTTTCTAAAAATCAAAAAAAAAACAAGCTGATTATTATTTGGCAAGTGTTTATTTAGGTGGGAAATTTTTTTTTCTTTCTTGTATTAGCTTTTAGTATAAAGTCAAGAGTTTCTCAATTTGTTTAAAATGTTTCAAGTCTTTCTAATCTTGAACAATAAGCTAAAAGGTAAAAATAAATAAATAAATTGAAAATTACTATATGTGAGTGAAAAGCATGAGAAAATATTATTTATTTTTTTATTTTTATTAATTATTTAATAATTATTTTTAAACAAGAAAATAAATCATGGCTGTTTAGCTAGGCGTGATACAAAACGGTAAAAATTGGATGACATTGTATAATGCTTGTTTTTGCTGTTAATCAAAATGTAAAATAATTAGTTTAAATTAAAATTAAACATATTGGATTTGTAAGATAGAACCTGGAAAAATCAAACAGAAACAAAAAATAGAAACTACAAAAAGAGAAAAGAATTAATGTGTTGAGGGTAAAGAGGAGGGAAGGCAACAAATGCCATCATCAATTAGGTCATCAAGCTCTAGGCACACCAAAACATTTGCCTCCTAAGAAACAACGGTTCACGGTTGTTACAGTCTTTCATTAAGGTCCCGTTTGTTTTGGAGTGTAGAGAGTGGGATGAGATTAGGATGTAAGTGGGGCCCACTTAGTGTTGTATTTGTTTGTAGAGTTGGAGAATGGATTAGGATGGAAGAATAGATTAAAATGGAGGTTGGAATGGGGATTGGGATGATGGAGGTGGACGTGGTATTAGAAAGATAGTGAGGGGACTAGAATTTTTTTTTATTTTTTACACTTTGGGCATTTCTTTTTGAACATTAATATTTATTATTTTGTATTTTTTTTATTTGTTTTATTATTTTATATAAAAATAATTTAACAATTACTACATTAACAATTATCATCAAAACAAATATAATTTTATTTAATCTCTTCCATTTTACCTTTGAAAACAAACAGATAAATTCTCTCTATTTTATCTCTGAAAACAAACGGCCTAAGTGTCTTAAGGCTGAAGAGGAGGGAAGGCAACAAATGCCATCATCAATTAGGTTATCAAGCTCTGGGCACACCAAAATAGATATGAGTTGTGGGTCAACGGTCTGGCTAGGCCCAAAAATAAGCTTAGTTCAGCCCAAGTTTCACGGACCCAGACTTGTTCGAGTAGGCAACGGCGTGCACATTGCAATTTTTCTATAACAAAAATGAAAACTTGGAACTTAAATACTCAATAATGTTCTCATAATTAGGTCAAGTTTGAGAAGTTAAAAATAATTCATCTTTTTATCTTTTTTTTATTACATTACCTCTCTACTTTTCTGCATATCTTTTTTATAAAAAGACAAAAAGTGCACTTATTTAGGTCATCCCAAACAATCCTTTAATCAATATGGGATAGATGGCTTTCCATTTTTTTAAAATATATTTATCATACCCACTTTATGAGACAATTTCTCATTTATTTATTAATTGTTTTGGCTCATTTTTTTGGTAGTGTAACCTTTTCACTAAGAAGTATTTAGACCCACTTGGACCCAACTTGGACCCAACTCAACTGATGATTGGGTTTCACTTTAATTTTAAAGTAACCAAAAAATTATTATTTTCTAACATTTGTTTTGTAGGAAATCTAAAAAATTGTAGGAGAATTACTATACATCCTTCAGTAGATATGCACGATTACCTTAAGGTAAATTCTGAAGTTCAAAATTTCTTAATTTATTGAGCATATTTTGTTCTTTTTAACAATTGAGTGTTTGGGTTAGTTTGCATGCACCTTAATTAATTTTGAAATATGAAAATTAATGATCAGACAAGCCTCTAATGACTTAGTATAATTCGAACTCGAAATCTTGACTCTTTATCTTTAAGTTTTTACAGTTAGACCAATCCTTTAGAAATCAATGAGTTTGCATTAAGCAGATTAGGGTTTCACCAAAACAATTGTATGTTTAATCTTCAGACAAATAGTAGCCAAAAGTTGATAATAGGGGTTTAGTTTTTACAGTGCCAAGAGGGGGTAAGAGACTTGTAAGTGGGGATGACATAACTGTCATTTATTGAAGTAGTTAGGCCCCATTTGGAAATTGGCTTTTTTTTAGTAACTTTTTAATTTTTCGGCTAAAATATGATATAAAAAAAAAATTAGTATGTTTAAAATGACTTTTTAATTTTTTACAAAAAGATGTGCAAAAAGTAGGAAAAAAAAAGAGAATCTTTGACTTTTTGATATTGATTGTTCACTTTTTGACTAAAATCACCACTTCCCAATTTAGGCCTTAATCTCAACCAACCCCTCTCTCTTTTTCTTTGATTTTTCTTTCAAATATGCTTTTTAGGAGGGAGAGTGACGTTTTAACTTTTTTCACGGCACCTCTGCTTCTTCTATGACAGTTTTTCTATTGTTAATTTTTTTCTTTTTTTTTTAGATTTGAATTTTTTCTTTCTTGTTCATCACCGTGCTAGTCATTATTGTTCTTTTTGCCTTTATCATCAACATACCACTGAAGAAACTTTCAAATCTAGACTCATAGCTTACTCTTAACCAAGATCTAACACCGCTAAATATATTTTTACATGCTAAGCTATTACTTTAGATCAAAAATAATTTTTTTATTTGTTATTTTGTAACGTAGAAATGAGAATCATAGCACTAAACTATTAGTTGCAGCAAGACAAAGCATGCAAGTGTTTGGTGGTGATTGTTTTAGTTGTTTGTTTATTTTTGTGTTGCAATAATGCCCTTTTACAAAGAGAGTTCCTCATTTCGTGAGAACTTATTTCTTCTTGCATGGAGATTCTCTTTTAAGATTCGTCATATATTCTGATACTTGATCAGATGACATTTGTATAAATAATTTATTTAAAAAATCATACTTGCAATGACACAAATGTGAGTTGATTAAGTGGCTATCAACATCTGATCAACGAGATTTTTTGCAAGGATGAAGTACTCGATAAGCTTTACAAATTGAATAGTTCGAATTATCGACACAAGTTTTGTGATGGGCCTACAAAAATCTAAATGCACCTTCGAATGAGAGGTTTTTAGATGGTCTAGGAGTATTACTCCACACCACTAGACACTTGACACTTGTCAAGTTGTCTCCTACTAACATAACAAAAAGTACTAGATCCCAAAATTTCAACCAATCATATTGAGTTGGGGCACCATGTGGCAATGCCTCAAGTCCATTACATAATTTTTCACTTCCAATCTAATTTAGATAGAAAAGAAGCCTTCCCTTTAATTTATTACGAAGAGTAATATAACCTACATCATTAATTTATGGAGGCAAAAAGTACCTCAAGTCTAGTTCAAAAAAAAAAAGAACCTGGAAAGTTAGATGACGAGAGTTTGGTAAGGGTGTAAAAATGGCTCGCACATATTCATAATTTGCATAATTCACCTAGTTCAATCAGCATGTTCACTAGTCATTCCAAGTCAAGGAGTGTATGATTCCCACACTAATTATCACATAACAATTTTGCACATAATTTGCAGCAATTGTTTTACTTCACTGTTTATTTTCCCTAGTCAGTCAATTTGAACATTAGAGGATTCAAATTCATGTACAGTTATTGTTCTTTCCATTGTCTATATGTAACATAGGTAACAGTAATTATAGGGAGACGATTCTCATAATTTCATTTTCATTTTCAGATATATTTACAAACATTTTCACATTCACTTTTTTTTTTTTTTTTTTTTTCGCCTATGCACATAACAATTCCACACACACTTACACATGTCAATGCAATGTCCCTATTTCTTTTCTAGGACATCCTATAGCTCATTTGGACACGTGTGTGCGATAGAACTCGTGCTCTGATACCACTCTGTCACGACCCAAACCTACCCCTATAGGTTTAGCGTCGTAACCGGCCAGTAATCCGTGATTACCAAAGGCATGTTTAACAATAATGACAATAATACAATATAAAGAGGGCTGGCGGAAGCCAATCAATAATGATATACATCGTTCAATGAGTTGTGAAGATCTGTATGGAAATAAACTTTTATGCACATAGCCATATTCATAACCACTTATACCCCAAATACAATTACAAGACAAAACACAATGTAGAGAATTAAATCCCATTATCGAAAGCAGTTAACAAAACCCAATAAACATTTTTATCTCATAAACATAAACATAATGTCAAAAGGGTGAATTTGAATCACCCAATAAGCCCTGACATGCAATGGTTCGGAACCTCGCAGTGAGGCACAAAAGTTGGCTTGACAAAAACAAGTTTCGGGTCAACGCCGCTGTTATCCCAGTTAGGCAACCCAAGAGGGGGGGTGAATTGGGTTATTAAAAATTTCACAATATTAAATATAACACAATATTCAGAATTTGAATAAATAAAAACAAACAGAATAATAATTATCAATATAAATGTAGAAGAGATAGAGAGAGAAAATCAAACACTGCGATTTATAGTGGTTCGGCACGCCAGGCCTACGTCCACTCCCCAAGGAACCTCCTTGAGAATTTCTTTACTATCAATTGAATAAATACACCACCAAGCTTGTGGATTTGGCACAGGACTTACTCTTATCTATTGAGCCTC